GCAGGATTGTGGTAACATTTAGCGCTGTGTTCCATGGAGGGAGGGGTAATGCTGTGGGAGGGAGGGTGGTGGCGTCGTCTTCTGACTGTGTGTGGCCACCATTTATTGACTGCACTCACCATACCAGCTTAGTGGTTCGCTATGGTGAACACAAATGTAGATTCTTATATATAACGTGTGTATAGAGGGTATAAACAGCAAGAGGAGTAGGTTGGGAGCCGCCATTTTGATGAGGGCGGTGGCGTCGTCTGTACGACACCACCGTGCAGACGACGGTGTTGTTTACTGGTTACCACGATGGTCTTTGGGCACCATACCAGTTTACATGTACAAGTATGGTTAATAAAACAGGTAGATATTTATATATAATGTGTGTATATAGCGTAATAACACCACAAACAGTATTGTTGGAGGAGAAATATTAGTGCGTCTGGCCTTGAGGGTGGCAGCCATCAGCTGACTGTGCGAGGTCCTACGTCTTTGTGCCTTTACTCACCATACAAGCTTAGATGTACAGTTATGGTGAACAAAACATGTAGATACTTATATATAACGTCTGTATATAGTGAATTATAGCAAAAACGGTATTGTGGGAGGAGAATGTGGGCGATTCAGATGACTTGAGGGAGGGCGTGAGTGGCTGGCTGGTACAAGGCGGTCACTCCTTGTTACTTTTTGACTCATAATAGCAACTTAGTGGTTCGTTATGGTGAACACGAGTGTAGTTACTTATATATAGCGTCTGTATATAGTGAATAAAAGCAACAACAGTATTTGGGGAGGAGAATGTGGGTGAGTCAGGTGACTTGAGGGAGGGCGTGAGTGGCTGGCTGGTACATGGCAGTCACTCCTTGTTACTTTTTGACTCGTAATAGCAACTTAGTGGTTCGTTATGGTGAACAAAACATTCAGATACTTATATATAACCTGTGTATATAGTGTAATAACCGACAAAGTATTTGTTCACTGTTTGATGAACATAATTGAATCAACAATATGCACACCATATTTCTGAGTACAGCGATGATTCACTCATTTTATTATATAAATATATCACACTACACACTATTGAATAATATTACAGCAAAAAAACTACGAAAAATCAATCAGAGACATTGAAATAATTAGGTAATTCTCTCTTTGTGGCAACTCGGGCCTGACAGCTGGCGATCAACAGACCGCCTGGGACGCACGCTGAGTCAGCGCCTGTTTTCTGTGGGGAGCCACTACGGCTCCCTGGAGCTTATCGGGCTAATGTATGTTATATTAGAGCTGGACATTAGCCAAGGAGTTCAGACCTACCAGGGACCAGCGCCAGAACCTGGCCCCTTCAGAGAGGTTTCAGGGAGCAATGGCCCTGAAAAACCCCGTTGTGGTTGGAGTTTTCCTTATCTGCCATCAACCTGGGTCAGGCACCCAGAAAGGTAGGCAAAACAAAACAAACCCCACATGGTAAAAAACTAAAACAAAAACCGAACAGAGAGGTAGAAACCCCCTACAATCCCAAGGAAACAAGCAAACATCACACTTTACTGCCGCACCAATCATCCGCGCAGCCCTCCACGCCCCGAGAGGGGAAGGGGGGAGCCCCGGACCTACTTCGCCGGCTGCCTAGCTTCAGTTCAGAAGCTAAGCGTCAACCAACGTGAAAAAAAAACGCAGACCAATGGGAGGGAGGGTTGCCAGGGAGCCTCCGGGGCTCACCCAGAAAATGGCGTTTCATTACATTCAACGCTGGTTTTCTGTGGGGAGCCCCTATGGCTCCCTCTCCTCAACATACTGTTTTTGGTTTTATTCACCATATACAGACGTTATATATAAGTATCTGCATGTTTCGTTCACCATAGCGAACAACAAAGCTGGTATAGTGAGTCCAGACAGTAAAAGGTGGCCACACAGAGTCAGCAGACAACGCTACCTCCCTCCCCACCAAGATTACTCCTCCCACTACAGCGCTAATTATCACAACAATCCTGCTATTATCAGAATCCTGGTCATTTTTATCACAGTCAGGGGTCTTCTGTAATGCTATCATCGCTAAATAATAACATGTACATACTGTATATATATATTATGGCATTTTTCGGCGATGCTGTGGTCACAAGCTGAACAGCAGTGCTGTGAGCTCATGCTGCGTGCGCCAGCCTTGGTGGCTTACTCATTACTGAGGCCCTCACACTCGGGAATGTGGCCTACGACTTTTTAAAAAAAATGGCGTCTGTTTACAAGGGCCTTGATGAAGGGTGAGGTGTACCCTGTGTATCCGCGGGCCGTTTAAATCTTGCGTAGTACTCCAACACATCATATGATGTGATGCGCAATTTTGCATAAGTTACTTAACACGTCATATAATGTGTTGCGCAGTTTAATCCTTTAACTGCGCAACGCGCCTGCAGGCCCACATTTGGGGTGCACTACGCGCCTCCGGGTATTTGTATTTTTCACGTTCCATTCAAAACTCCCGCGGCTTCATGGGGTTCACATCAGCTTCCTCAGGTCTCTTGTAAACAGACGCCATCTTTAAAAAAAATCGTGGTCCACATTCCCGGGTGTGGGAGCCTCAGTAGTGAGCGAGCAACCAAGGCTGGCGCTCACAGTATGAGCGCACAACTCTGCTGTTCAGCGTGTGACCATAGCATCGCCTAATAATGTCAAAATATATATATAATCTGTATTATTTAGCCATGATAGTATTATAGAAGAGCCTGAGTGTGATAATGACTGGGTACAATGTTCAAATATCAGTGATTCAATGCTGTTCATGATGTTCACAGTGCTAGCCAGAGCATTATTTCGTCCATTTAGGAACCTTCAAACGACTTTTTAGGTTCCTTTTCAAAATAAACTTGTGGTCAATTATTCATTTACAGGAATTAGTGACCAGGATTGAGGTTATATTGAGGAGGCATTGTGCATAGTATTGTGGAAGGAGGAATTTTGGTAAGGGAGGGAGGCAAGGAGAGAATTGAGATAGCCTCACTATTGTGTGGCAGCCACTCTTGTTTTGCTCACCATACTAGCTTCGTGGTTTGCTATGGGGAACACACATGTACATGGGTAAAACAGTGTGTGTGTATAGTGTAATAACAGCATCAGAAGTATGTTGAGAGGAGCTATTTTGTTGAGGGAGGTGATGTCGTAATCGTACCGTCGTATGCTGTCTGCTGTGTTGAGGGAGGTGATGTCGTAATCGTACCGTCGTATGCTGTCTGCTGTGTTGAGGGAGGTGATGTCGTAATCGTAGCGTCGTATGCTGTCTGCTGTGTTGAGGGAGGTGATGTCGTAATCGTAGCATCGTATGCTGTCTGCTGTGTTGAGGGAGGTGATGTCGTAATCGTAGCGTCGTATGCTGTCTGCTGTGTTGAGGGAGGTGATGTCGTAATCGTAGCATCGTATGCTGTCTGCTATATATTCAATTTGACTAGAGAGAGATTTCTCATGTGGTGTATGGTTGCCACTGTATTGTTTGGACACAATACCGGCTTACTGGCATAGTTCTGGTAAATAAAATGTGTAGATAGGTATATATAACATGTGTAAATAGTGTAATAAAAACAATAACAGTATTGTGGGAGGAGGAATGTTGGCGAGTAAGATGTTGGAATGAGGGAGGGTTGGCTGGGTGTGGCTGCTCACACTTGCGGTGTTCTGAATGTGTTGATGGTGAATGTATATAGTATGTACATATGTTTTAAATATACATAAATGAATATGAAACATTGGTGTGAATAACTGTATGATGGGAGGAGCAATGTTGGCGAATACGATGTTGGAGGAGTGAGGGAGCTGGGTGTGGCAGCTCACACTCGCTGTGTTCTGAATGTGTTGATGGTGAATGTATATAGTGTGTGACAGTGTATAGTCTGTAAATAGATTATATATATAGATAAATTAGCATGATACATGGTAAATATGTGCAACATATGTGTACACAAGTGTCATGCACGTAACAGTGTCCTCGGACAGTACGGATGTTTTACTGCCATAATATAGTGTACGTGTTCATTATACATAGGATTAGCATGTAAAAACAAATAAAATGTATTTGGAACTGTGCGCAAAAAATGAACAAAAATATATTCGCGGCAACTCGCAAATATATTCGCGAGTTGCGAATATATTGTTGCGAGTACGCTCCTGGGGGCCCTACTGGCCCCAGGAGCGTACGTCACGGGCGAACAGGGAATGATAACGTCACGCGCCAACTTACGGACCCCATAACAGCCAAAGTAGGTACAATTTCAAATTTTTTTTTACATACCCATACTGAGGGAAGGGTTTTTGACACTTTAAAAAAAGAAAAGAATTTTTTCAAGATAATTTATTTCCTGTGCACTGGGAGGGTGTCATATTTAGAGGCGGCGCAGTTATAGGGTTAAGGGTTAAGTACATAGCTAGAGTATAAGCAAGTAAGGACGGGTTTCACTAGTTCGTACTCTAGAGTACGGCTTACCAGTTCGTTCCCTTACACAGTGCAACCCGTTCTCGCACTTTCGTATAGTCAAAATTGACTTATTAAATACGTGCATATGTGACATACTAAACAAACTAGTTTACCTTGAAAAGCTTCATAGAAAACACCAACCTTACCTAATCTTCTTAGTGTGTTAAGATAAGCATCTTATTGCTTCGTAATTACAATTATTACTTAACCTATTATAGGTATAGGTTAAGTAATAATTGTAATTACGAAACAATAAGATGCTTATCTTAACATACTTAGAAGGTTAGGTAAGGTCGGTGTTTTCTATGAAGCTTTTCAAGGTAAACTAGTATGTGTAGTATGTCACATATGCACGTATTTAATAAGTTAATACTGACTGTAAGAAAGTGCGAGAACGGGTTGCACAGTGTACTCACTGTATACTTGGGTACATGGTAAATCAGGTATGTATGTTGTGATATATCTGAACTGAATATTATATCAGGTTTACTTGAGTTATTCCATTTAACATGAGAATAAAGGTGATGGAATTAATAGAAATTTTTATCTTTTTCAGCTGTGTCTGAAAGGAATGGCCCCAATGCAGGTTGATGGTGAGCCATGGGAGCAGTACCCTGGAACCATTGTGGTCTCTCACAGTCATCAAGCCTCAGTTCTTCTCAGAGAGTAGTTCTTACTTCCCAGTCTATTTTTGTGTTAAGAGTTGTTCTGTATATTGTGTAATATACCTGCATTATAGATTGTACAACTTAATGAAAGTGGTTCATTTTATTTTGTTCATTGCAGTGTTCTTCATCTGTTAAAATACATTTTACTTGACATGTACTGTACTCAGTTATGTGATTGTCATGATGTTTTCAGCAATCTATTTGGGTATACAGTATATTAACCTGAAGGTTAATCAGGGTCGTTTCCTATGACTTATTCACTAGTCTTATAAATATCTAGTCTGCCTCTATATGTTTATTGATACTGTCTCTTCTGGAAACCTTTCTTCCTTCCTTTAGTGCTGCCTAGTGTAGAATCTTTCCCACAGGTCTCGACTGCAATCAAGTGCTTACGTACATGAAGCAGCATTTTCTAAAGATAACCCATTTATGTATTTATTATTTGTTTATTTATTTTATTTATTTATTTATTTAATATATATAGAAGAAGATACATTGGGTTTATGAGAGTACATAGCATTGATGTTTATACATTCTTGTAAAGGCACTAACACGCATAGCATTTTGGGCAGGTCTTGAGGCAATTGCTACTCACTAGATGTAATTACCGAGGTGTTTGCAGAAGATCTATATGTAGTTGTCCCTCAAATACCATAGGGAATAGGTATCAAAATAATAAATAAAATAATATCAACCTCTTTGCCCCACTGAGTTGAGTTTCCTCAAATGCTCCCTAAGCCAAAGCCTTATGGTGCACCACGAATATATCACTATTTTAGCCTCTCGGTGACCTCACGCTCTAGCCTGACAACAATCTTGGCAAGGAAAATTGAGAAAGGGAATGAATAGCTAATCTAACTAAGGCCCCCACCAGGGGACCAGGTCATTGTAATGCAAAACCAAATCATGCCCTCAATACCCCACACAAGTACTACAGTATTTAGAAAATGGGAGAAATGCCAGTTAATTCCCTTTGAACTACTGTTGTAAACTACACTACACTCCACCACCACCAGGAGCAGCAACCTACACAACAGCTGCTCAGCCATGGGAGCCGGCTACATCACCTTGCTCTTAATGTCTTGTGTTGTTACTCCTGGGCTCTGTAATGGCCAATAAAATATGTGTTTGCCTGCTCTATTCCCTTGAGACTGTTGTCTCAGAGCAAGAGATTTCTCTGTGAATTATGGTTCACTCCATGACATGTAGTTTATTGTGTACTGTTTATTAAAGATATCCTCAACAACTGTGTTTTAGGATTATCTTCCGTGTCACTGATAAACACCAACAAGCCCCGAGTTACCTTTTCTGAATCTGTATGGTGTTTCTTTCAATCTGACATTGAGCTTCGCTTTGTAAGCCTCACACAGTAACAATTATAGTTTTCTTCTTATAGTCTTATTATTCTTATAGTCTTTGTAGTGATTACCCTTCTGCATTTTCCTTGTAGGGAATGTAGGGGAACTTGATTTTTATTTGTGTAGAACACACCGGTGTAGAATTCTTTCAATATACCTGTTACAAACCTTATCATCCAGTATGCAATATTTTGGGTATATATAGAGTTTATATAGCAATTTGACTAAAGAGAGAGCTTAATGAAAACAAGGTGGTGTGGATATTTGTTCCCAGGAGGCGACCATCAGCTGACTGCTGGCACACTGTAGCTCGATGAGATCCCACCATCCATGAAAGTAGTGCTTGCAATCGTGTGTTGATTATGGATTACCAGTAGAATGTGTGTGTAAATATCATTAAACTTTGGAGTCAGTCAGTGTGAATGGAGTTCTAGGCCTACTAGGGACCATGAGCCAGAACTTGCCCCCCCCCCCCTCAAAGAGGCACAAGGAGCAATGGTCTTGCATAGAAGGGCACATGTGACTTGGAGCATTTTATGTCTGCCATCGACCGGGCCAGGCACCCAGAAAGGTAAGCGCCTTAAAACAAATCCCCTATTCTGGTTAAAACTACTACAGAAGACTAACGAGTGGACAGAACTCCCCAAACGAAAACAAGCAAATGAGCATGATGTCACACATGCCACGCTGCTTGTCTGCGGAGCTCCTCCCTCCCCGAGAGGGGAAATGGATAACCCCAGACATCTCGTGCCGGCTATCCACACCGCAGTTCTCAGCTGATGTGATTGTGGCTCGGTCGTGTGGCTCCAGCTCCAGATTCTCTCTGTGTTGTGCTCTGCCTTGTATCCAGTACTGCTCTTATGGTGACATGCGCGCTGGGAGTATTATTCACAGATACTCAGACTGCATGTGCTTAGGGTTCCCTTCCCTGAGTATCCTGCAAGTACTGCCCTTGGGGCTTGGGATTATCTTCCACAAACTACCTTGGGGTCTACCTCTGTTGGTCTTTTGCTGCTCGGTGATTGACCACCCCGAGTATGTTGGGGGGGAAGGGGGGAAGGAGGTCCTCCAATGTTTACTTTGAGGTAAGTGGTAGTTTTTGCAATGGTAGGGGCACGGGATACTGCACAGCTAGTTTTCACCTATTACAGCGGCCAGCTCTCTTCCTCCTGGATACGTTGTCCTCTTGCGGGTTTTTTATTTTCATTTTTGTTTGTGCCTGTGGGGGGGGTCTGCTTTTGTTCCCCTACCCCCAGTTATCTTAGGGTCTTGACCTCCTGTGTTTGGTGGTACCTCCTGCTTGGCCCCTGTGAGTGGACCTGTTCCGGTAGTTCAGTTTTAGAGGTTTGTTTAGTAGACTTGGGTGCCAGTTAGCAGTACCCCACCTGGGCTTATCCTTAGCGATAACAGTCTAAGGGACCTGGGAAACCTCGTGGGGGCGCAAGGGGTCCAATAGATGTGATCCCTGGGTCCTCTCTCGCCTTATGCAGGTTTGAAGGTTGCTCTGTCCCCTTGTCTCAGGGCGACGCTCATTGTTTTTGCCTCCGTCATGCTGCCTGTTGGGTCGGTGACATTTTCAACCCGGAGTCCTGCGAACATTGTTGCTTGTTTGTGACTTACTTCACCCAATCCACTGATGACACTATCTGGGTGCAAGTGGGTCAGGTGTTGCATGCTAGGTTTAGGTTGCTGCCACGTGCTAGGTTGATTGAGTGGGTAGGAAAACTGTTACATGGAGTTGGGGTTTTCCTCCCCCCCCATTGGTTTTGAGTTGGTTTTGGTGTCCGCTCCTCCCTAGGTTCAGTTCCGTGTCCCTTCGGGTCCATCAATTCCGTTCTTCCTGTGGGTAATTTTAACCACTTTCTCAACATTCTTATCTGGGACATGTATTCTTCTACATCATGTCACAATCATGTAGGAATTGTATCGGGATCCTGCATGACCCTTGGTCACATATGCCAATGGGCTCATATGTGCCTCTATGATTTTGTGCTTGATTATTGAGCATTTCGAAGGTTCAAAAAGAAATTTGATAATTCAAACATTATTGGAACATCTGTCAATTTCGGGTGAGGATTACCTCCAGTCCTTTATGGGAATCATTGGTCCTCTTCTGAACTACAGTACTGTACTTATTTTTCAATACTACTGTATATCTAATTATTTTATAATCACATCGTATCTCCGTAATCTGTCTCAGCATTAAAAATAATCGTTTAATAAACAATGTCGGCTACCTTCCCTGAAAGAAGGGTGGAGCCAGCTCGGACCTCATGCGTCCTGAGCATGGCCCGAGGGAGATCGTTTTGTTTCTGGACAGTGTAAACATGTGTTGGTGTTCCGCGACCTTTCTCACGGGTAATACGCCACACTAGCTACTTTTCTCTCTCCAGTCATAGCCCCATAGATACTGGAGGAGTTCTGGATTTTCTATATAGGGAAACTTCCTAGTTCTTTTCTCTAAATATGGGTGTAGGGTGGCTCGGAGTGATGCCGCCTCTGCCTCTACTCTACTGCATATGTAACGTAGGACATAATCCACTAGCGATACTCCCAGAATATTGTACAGCTGAGCTGTGTCGTGCCACTATAGTGCCTACGGTCTAGCAATACTATCAGCCAGGCCTTGGTTCTCGATTTTTGGATGAGTGTTGGGTATTGTTTGTGGTATGTTGATTGCCACTTTATGTGCATCTTAACGTAACCTTAATGTCTCCACTCGATTATCTGGACTATATGGGAAGGACCCCCAGCCGAATAATCACGTGTTCTGGATAATTGTATTTTTTCACCTCTTGAGTCCAAAAGGGATCATTTCCAACAATTTTTATACCACACATGATTTGAATTGTCACACACTAATTAGTGTGTGGGGCTGGGTGGGTGGTTAGCTGCCTAGCTGGTAGGTGAGCAGGGAAAGTGGGTGGGCAGGCAGGTGGGTTGGTGGGCAGGCAGGGATAGGTGGGTTTTGGATGAGTGGATGGCAGGCAGATGGGCTTGGTGGGTCAACAGGTTCGAGCAGATAGGTGGGTGGGTGGGCGAGCAGGTGGGTGGGTAAACAGGTGGGTGGGCAGGGAAGTGCATGAACAGGTGGGTGGGTGGGATGAGTAGGCAGGTGGGTAATTACCTAAGTGTAGTTACAGGATGAGAGCTACGCTCGTGGTGTCCCGTTTTCCCAGCACTCTTTGTCATATAACGCTTTGAAACTACTGACGGTCTTGGCCTCCACCACCTTCTCACATAACTTGTTCCAACCGTCTACCACTCTATTTGCGAAGGTGAATTTTCTTATATTTCTTCGGCATCTGTGTTTAGCTAGTTTAAATCCTCTTGTTCTTGAAGTTCCAGGTCTCAGGAAATCTTCCCTATCGATTTTATCAATTCCTGTTACTATTTTGTATGTAGTGATCATATCACTTTTTCTTCTGTCTTCTAGTTTTGGCATATTTAATGCCTCTAACCTCTCCTCGTAGCTCTTGCCCTTCAGTTCTGGGAGCCACTTAGTAGCATGTCTTTGCACCTTTTCCAGTTTGTTGATGTGCTTCTTAAGATTTGGGCACCACACAACCGCTGCATATTCTAGCTTTGGCCTAACAAAAGTCGTGAACAATTTCTTTAGTATATCGCCATCCATGTATTTAAAAGCAATTCTGAAGTTAGAAAGCGTGGCATAGGCTCCTCGCACAATATTCTTTATGTGGTCCTCAGGTGATAGTTTTCTATCTAGAACCACCCCTAGATCTCTTTCTTTATCAGAATTCTTTAAAGATTTCTCACATAATATATAGGTTGTGTGGGGTCTATGTTCTCCTATTCCACATTCCATAACATGGCATTTAATAACATTAAATTCCATTTGCCAAGTGGTGCTTCATATACTTATTTTGTCCAGGTCATCTTGAAGGGCATAACAATCATCTAAGTTTCTTATCCTTCCTATTATCTTAGCATCATCAGCAAACATGTTCATATAATTCTGTATACCAACTGGTAGATCATTTATGTAGACAATAAACATCACTGGTGCAAGAACCGAACCGTGGTACTCCACTTGTGACATTTCTCCAGTCCGATACATTGCCTCTGATCACTGCCCTCATTTTTCTATCAGTCAGAAAATTTTTCATCCATGTTAGAAGCTTACCTGTCACCCCTCCAATATTTTCCAGTTTCCACAGCAATAAGAAAACAATATAATTCTTGCAACACCGCTAACACCACCTTCCTTCGTTAAGCTTAACGGGAGTCACATACACACACAACAGTTCTTCCTCCCTCCGTGACCAACTCCCTTCCTCCCTCCCTGACCAACTCCCTTCCTCCCTGGCCAACTCCCTCCCCAACAAACTCCCTTCCTCCCTTCCTGACCAACTCCCTTCCTCCCTGGCCAACTCCCTCCCTCCCTCCCTTCCTGACCGTTATCCCCCCAGGTGGTCCCTCCCAACGCTCCCCTCTCTCCTGACACCACCCACCCACCCTACCCCCTCCTACACCATGCGGCTGAATGGCCACAAGTTAACCGGCTCCGATTTTTTATCCTGCTCACATGGACATTTTGGCCGGATATTGAGACAACTTTATCCGGTCACGATTTTGGCAGTATAAGGGCGTTTTCCGGATGTTCGAATCCCAGATAATCGAGTATGTCCATACACGTATATTGTTATTCGTTACACTGTGGGGGCATAGCCCCGAATTTTGGTAACTTTTGATTTACTCTTTCAGCACCTGAATCTTTTCTTGCCTCTGGACTTGTGATCCTGGGTTCGATCCCAGGCGCCGGTGAGAAACAATGGGCAAAGTTTCTTTCACCCTATGCCCTGTTACTTAGCAGTAAAATAGGTACCTGGGTGTTAGTCAGCTGTCATGGGCTGCTTCCTGGGGGTGG